TCCCTAAATTTTCTGATTTTATTAATTTTAAATGAGTGAATTGACGAAATGCCCTTAGAGGCGAGGGTGTTGACTTTCGTTGACCAATGTATTGTGAGATGTATGAAACATTCTTTTGGCGTATCCTCGTAATGCTCGTCACTACAAACACATGGCGCAAGCGGAATCAAATTTGGAGCTATGATAGAGATTTTACGGACCTACGAACGTGAAGGGCAATTTGGTAATTTCAATTGGGAGATATTTTGTGGCTTGTTTTGTGAGCCACGTGGGGCCCACACCCCATACTCTTCCCTCTTTGTCGTGTCTCCCATTTTCCTAGCTCTTCATTCATTGGTCAATCCCTCTCCTTACTTACCACTCTCTTGCTGACACCTCACCTCATTACTCAACTCTCTCTCTCTTCAATTATCTTTCACAACTTTTTTTCTCTCTTTAACTTAGGACCCTCTCTCCTTCTCGGCAAGCTGAGACTTTCACACCTCACTGCTCTGGCGAGCTTCATCACCTCCGTCGCACCACACCACCATCACCACTTCATTCTTTTTCTCAAACCCAGGCCAAAATCCTTGAATCTCGACAGTGACAGACCACTGTACATGGTTTTCTTATCCCGACAAACTGCGGCGAGTTCTCATCATCTCTAGCGAAAGTAAGGCTTGAAACATTCCTATAAATTTGTATATCGTGCCTAGAACTAAGATTGGGATGTTTTTTAGACGGTTTAGTGGTGTTTGGACGTAGGAATCACGTCGGGGAAGAACTTCCCAATTTCCAGAGAGGAACTCGAGATTTTGCAGGATTTCTCTTGCGAACTCCAGCCATGGCAAGAGACCATGATGGTAGAATCTTGTCCCTTACGTCCTTAGCTTCGTTTTGATTTTTGAATCATTGAAAATGATCGAGTTTTGAACCCAAATTAGAGTTCGAGAAATTTCCCAGCCAAACCAACCCAGAAATCGACCTTCATCTTCCCTGGGTCCGACGGGTACAACCCACGAGCTCAATGGGGTAACCCGACCCGATGTAGGAAAAAAAAAGCCCAAGCCCACAACCCGTTTACCCAAACCCGGATCTGTGGGCCGGATCCACTTAGCGATTGAAGAGGAATATTCCTTCTAATGAGGGAATATTCTGTTAAAGTTAATTGTTGATTGTTAGTTGACTTTTTCGAAATTTTCTTGAAGGCTGCCTAGGCTAATTTTGACGTCCCAAGTCCATTTTTGATATCAATTTAGGGAAATTCTGAAGTTTTAACATAGTTGACCACCAGTGCGTCTCGATTGACTTGTTAGGGTTGACCGTTGACTTTTCGTTGAATTTTCACAAAATTTGTTGAGGACCCCTCTTAGCGTAATTCGACATTCTAATTCCAAATCTACACTCCATTTTTTCAAATTTAGTCATTTTAGTTGAGTTTTAGTAACGGGCCCCAATATTATGCTTAGGTGCGATTACTATTGGAGACTCCTGCTTCCTAGCTTGAACGGATGTGACATCGCAAGTAACTGTGAGTGGGTCTTTTCTTTTATATAGTATACAAAATATATATATATATATATATATAATTGTTAGTTTCCATTTATACATTTCATAAAGAGTTTTCTACAATACGCCTATATTAGCGTGACATTTATAAGATTTAGAGCATTGATAAAAGTTATGAAGTTATGCTACGTCCTACGGGATGCACAGGTATAAGTATTATTATTGATGCCTTAATTATATTTATGGCCATGAATAGTGTTATGGTGACATGAATTATCGATTTATCGTTGTGTGATTCTATTTACATTATATGATCATCGTTGTTGCACCGGTGTTACTATTCACCTAGGCCAGGGCTAGTCTTTCACGTGTATGTGCATATCGTACCGTACGTTGACTTTGGATCCATTGTAACTGTCAGTCCTGTCCTAGATTGCTATAGGCAATTAGGACTCGTATGTGCTGCGCATAGCGCTAGTCTTCACGTGATTGTAATACTATAGCATATATTACTGTTACACCCAGTCCTATTCATGTCATAATATCTTTGCATGAACTCATGTGTCAGCATGTGTCGATGAGCACTCGATATGATATGTTTGCTTATGCGAGATTATATGATTACGGACGTCATGTAGTTAATTACGAATTTTGTGACGTATTGTATTCTTGCGATATTACAAGCTATTGTAAGTATTTTCATACTATACATAGTATGTATATTTTGGAAACTATATTTGTTTTACGGCGAGGGGTTATTATGTTTTCGAAAAGGTTTTTACAAAGCTTTATTTTCAAGCCCACTTACCCTTATTTTTTTACCCTTCCAGGTTTTAGTGGTTGAGCATTCGTGTCGACGATAATTCTTGGCAAATCTTGGTATAGGTGGTTACCTTCAATGTTATAATTCTTGTTCTACTTTACTGTACTTTACTTATGCTATGACATCACATGTAAAATTGGTTCATTCCTGCTCACAAGCGCACTCTTATATTTAGGCACTTTTAGGTTTAAATTTATTCACATTTTCCACATCACTACACTTTATGACTTTGTTACTCTCTGAGTGTCGCCCAACACAGCTCGATTCAGAGTCCAAGTTGACATTCCAGATTGGGATATGTCACCTAAGTTCTTCTAAATTATATAGAAATCATAAATACAATCTATTAGAAATTACACAATCATGTATGTGCTATAATTTAATTAACACAGTTTTTAATTATTTGTGACCATTTTTCTCCCTAAAAATATATTGATGAACTCACTGAAGAAAAAAAAATACTACAACTTCAATGTGAAGACATGATGCACCAATGACGTATGTGCTTATGATTGTAGTATCTTTCAAACAGTAGTATGACAAGGGACACCAAATTAGTCCCATCAATTTAATTTCCTAAAAAACAGAAACGAGAAATAGTAAGGAGGATATTTTAAAGTGAGATTTTTTATAATCTTCTTGTCATTTTATAATTTAACGTTAATTTTTGTATTAATATTATAAAATATTATACTAAAAACATATACTGGCAAAGAGTCCGTAGGGAGTTTTATTTTTGAGAAATTCTTATTAGCATTATGTTGTAAAAACGTGAAAGTGCATAATTGACTCAAATTGAAATAAGTATAAACCCAAATTGCTATGTAGAGAGTTTTATTTTTTCTCATCAAATGATAGATTTTTATTAAATTAAATGTTAGATTAATTACTAATAAAATTCAAATCACACCGTCATACAAAACTTAACTCATTTCTACCACTGCAATAAAAGATCACTGTGTAGAAAGTTGACTCATACACTTGCTTATACATCATTTAAGGACCATACTTAAGAGTCACTGTCATTGTTGTTCACAAAAACATCATTAGAAGAAAGTGCATCTCAGCAATCCTATCAAGATCATGGAATCCACTCAGTGGTCCACGAGTATTGCAACGCAAAGCATCAAGTTCGTTTGTTTGTTTATTTATTTTTTGTTAAACAATAAATTTATTTGTTATATTAGACAATCTCTAAAGGAGATTTCAATATGTCAAATATAATTAAAAGACATTTAAATGTTTTCCAATAGATATGTTATAGATGATGTAGTATTTGAGTTATTTGACTTCTTACTTTTTAGTTGTCTTTTTTGACAGTAAACAAATGAGTCAAATATATTTAATTTAAATTTTAATGCATCGGTCCCATTAATAATCAATAAAATAAAAACTAAAACTAATTTTGATTATTTTTTAATTGTTAATGTAACTCTAGGCCCAATAGTTCGCTGCCGAAATCTCTTCCAACCCTCTATCCCAAAAACCCTAGCTGCCTACCACTTCCCCCCCTCGCTGCCAGTCTTTGGCTATAACTGGGGGCTGGTGGCAGGCCCTCCTTTCCTCTTCCTAGCTCTCCCCTTCCCCACTCTTCCCCATCCCAGCCTTCCCCCTTAGTTTTTTTTTATTTTTTTTCCACCTCTCTCCGCCCTCTTCCCCTGTTTCCCCTTTCCCCCGAGTCTTTACCTTTCCCCCTCCCCCGTGTGTCCCTTCCCCGACCCCTTTCCCTTTCAAGCTTATCCTTCCCTACGCTAACCACGCCGCCCTTTTTAGTTTCTTCCTTCCCTGCTTTCTCCCCCACCTTTTGCACGCCTATCCTGTGATTTCAGGTCTCCTCCCCAAATCCGGGTTTGCCCTTCTCAAGGCTCTCTTGATTTGGGTTTGATGGGTTTTCTAGATTTGGTTGCGGCTCCCTTCGGCTTGTGCGGTTTGGTTTTTTGGTGTGTGGATGTCGGCATCCCATTGCCAGGATGCATCGGGTGTTGGTCTCTTCTCGATTTATTTCCCTTCGGTTCGCCTCGGGCGAGGTTTATGTAATTTTAGTTTTATTTAATTTTCATAGATTAGTACTGGTCTTCCTAGGAAAATTGCTCTCTAGGGTTCCTAGGTCTCCTTAGGTTCTCTAGGAGAGCGCTTGTTCGAAGATTGATTACGGCGTTTGGTGTTGAGTTAGCTCCAATTTGTTGGAGACATTTTCAGCTGGTGGTTCAGGCTGGTTTTGCAGCGTGTGGAAATGACTATGGAAGCCATGGTTGCATGCTTTGCCGCATGGTTAATGCTTACAACACATCAATGATTATACGCTATATGTTTGGTGGGGTGGAAGATTCCCCTGATTTGTTTGGGGATATCTTGTAATTTGATTATGTATTGACATTTGGGGATATGTCATTTCGTCGTGCGGGACGCTCTTTTTCCTTAGATCGGATTGAAAGCTTCGACAAAATTTTATCGAGGCCCAATATACACACTATTCTAAGTTTGTTGTCAGTTTGTACTTGTATTGCTTTGTTTGCAATGAATATCAAATATCGTATTTCTCTAAAAAAAACCTGTAGGCCCAATAAAATAATAAAATAAATATTTGACATATTCATTAAGAAAAAAGAATTTAGCACTTATATTCAGTTTGCCATATCAGCCATTAAATAAAATTTTGACATATTATTTTTGAGGCCTTCTTTGAAGATGATCTTAAATGTTAAATTAAGAAGCTGAGAGAGTTTGACCCATCTTCCCCTCCATCCAACACACAAACAACCACACAAAAACACAAAAGAGCAACAAAGCAAGCAACACACACTCCACTCCCCCAGAGTGACACAGCCATCGGACCCAAAACCCTGTAAGACACACACACAATGCCATTTCAGCAATGACCACCAAACCCACCACCACCTTCTCTCACCACCAATGTCTTCCTCTTCCTCCTCCGCCTGATGATACCACCACCACCTCCAGTCTCACCCATCTGATCGACTCCGAGCCCAACCACATGCCCTCCCCATCCTACATCTCCAGGTTCCGCGACCGTACGATCGACCTCACCGCCCGCCAGGACTCCATCAACTGGATCTTAAAAGTCCACGCCCACCACCGCTTCTCCCCCCTCACCGCCTTCCTCTCCGTCAACTACTTCGACCGCTTTCTCTCCTCCCACTCCCTCCCGGTAACAAACCTCCCCCAGAAAAAAAAAAAAAAAAAAAAAACGCATTATCCGGGAAAATTTCAATGCTGACGTGTCTGACGCTTTACTTTTTAATACATTTTATTTTTTGGTGCAGCGACACAGCGGCGTCAGCTGCGTCCGTCGCCTGTGGTAGAGATTTAAGACACCATACATACTGAGAAGTATGTTCCTGTAGGTTCACGTCCACGGAGTCATAAAGACAAGGTTACTAGTTCTTCGAACAATATCGTTCAAGAATACTTCAGAGTTGAGCCCGAGAGGTCCGATCTTTAGGCTGCGAGCCAGACACGTGCAAAATACGCACCAAGACCGGATAGAGACTCTCACGAGGCTTGATGGGTGAGGCACAACTAACTACAATTTCGGAAAAGGCGAAGAACTTGCGGTATCGCCCTGTCACACCCGTAAATGTAGTTTAAGCATATTAGAATCCGAACCTTTCAGAAATCCTTATCTTTTCGTGACCATCCCACACTCCATTAATCACGAGTTCACAACTCACATGCAGTCTCTCTTCTACACTCTGTCGTCTATTCTGAGTCCCCTAGCGGCTACTAATCCTCTGCATATATCTAAGGGTTCCTCAACCATCCAATTCGTCGGCTACAATATAATTAAGCCTTAGAGAAGTGCGCTAAGAATGAACTCACGCGAACTACGAAGTATCAATATAAAAACCAACTTACAACCAAAATGTAGCGTTGGATATGATATTAAATATCTCATAAAATGCGGAACTCTTTAGGGCCGTATTTGCTTTGATTTTTTGGATTTTTCGAGAGAAATCTGATATGCGTCGCTTCAGTCATCAGGTCTTGGCTTTCGGTTTTTCTGAGCCTAATCTAACGAACGAGATGCTGCCGTTTTAATTCCAAAACTGTAATGTTGCCGGGCCTGCCTCGCCAGCGACATTGTGTTGCTTACTGGCCACAGACCGTGCAAGATAAGGCGCTAGTGTGAAAGGATTGAGCGAGAGCGATAAAGAATAGGTACTCGAAGATTTGGACTAGCTTTAGAGTGTTCTTCGACCGTAGCGAGAGGAGATCTAATAGAGCTACTAGGTGAGTTATTTTTGTATTTGCCAATGGAGTGGGGTGTTCTATGCGCGAATGAACACGTCGATGACATCTTCCATGCGCGCAAGTTTTTATACGTCAGTGACAATATCATAATATGGCCTGGAGATTATGAACTTTATTAAGCTCACGGATTAGAGATTCCTATATATCAACCTGTAAGTCCAAACACCTAAGAACTCAGCGTGCCAATTCCTTAAACGCTGGTCCACTAAAGACTTATAGATTAACAATACTCTTTTTATGCTCTAGTCACTATACGCGGGCAACTTACGTCCAAAGGAGTATGCTAATGAGCCTGTGCGCCTACACTTCCATGGAGGTTCCAGTTTAAACACGCACTCTGCTTGACACGCTATCATACAGGACTCGACGCTATCCGTCTCCCTCTTACTCCCCACACATAACAAACACGAGCTCGAATATTCTCGCGAATGAGAAGATCGCGCCGAGTCTCGCGGCTCGCACCCGATGCAAGCCCCAATTCGGCGCTCCTATCACGCTAGACGCGGCTTCTGTGTGCCAAGTCTTGGCGAGAACCTCCGCTCTGCGCGAAGGATCCCATGATGCCTATTTCCATTCCCCGGAAGCAGAGCAAAGGGCCTATATGCGAAGACCAGGAGACACTTACAACCGAACTCCTATGCCTCGCCTGCACTCCAATAGAGAATTTAGTTGGAGCCACGAAACCGCACTGTTGCACGCATATCACTTCTGCAGCCGTTGCGACGATAGAATCCTAACGGAGCTTAGCGCCAACGTCTGTTCTATCCTTGAAAAGAAAATGAACCTCTAGGTATCTTTACCAACAGTGGAATGAACTACTTGCATAACATTCAGTGTACAATGTGTTGGTGTTCTTACAGTAATTATTTTTGTGAGTATTAGGAGATAATGGAGCACTAATTGTTTTTTATTATATATATTCGACGGTCCGGATGATATTACTCTATGAAGTATTTTAGACCAAAATTTCTAATAAAATTACACTTAACTAATGTTGTATATTTCACAATGTTTAAAGTGTTTTATTTATGTAGTATATGTTTGGAAGTCAAAAAGAAACAAGGGCATTTGAAACAAAAAATACATTTAAAAAGTATGTGAGTAAACACTAAAGTTCTAAACAAAAAAAATACAAACAGTTAAAGATATATTTCACGTTTGTTTGAGCTTGTGGTCTTAGGTTACTTCGTAAACACAGAGATGAATTGAGTAAATTTTTGTTTATAATGAGAGCATAACGTAGAAGAAACATAATAGGCAAATCTAATGGGTGGGAATTTTGTATGATTATACTCGTTCTAGAGTATTAGCGAACGTTAAGTTTTTAAAATTCATTATTAACGATATTCAAGTGTAAATTGACTGAAGAAACAAAAAATCTAAGAAATCCAACTATACACATATCTCCAATGAGTGTAGTACAAATGCCTTTAGAGTATATGGAAGAAACTCAAAAACTAACGTCTACAACTCAACAAAGTAAGAGAACTTAGAGTGTCTCAAAATCCTCGCCTATCTTTGCAAGGTAGAAAGATATTTATAAGTAAGCGCACATCTCCGAGTATGATATGTGGAGAGAGATCTCTTTGTTAAAATAGTAGATTTGAGAGAAAAAGATTGTGACATGTATGTTAGAGGAAAGAAGCGTGGAGTCTGTAGGGTTAAAATCAGTGGAGAGGTTTACACACAAAAGCACTTTGTATTAAGTGTTTTTGATCTTGGCAACAGTTAGATTACCGCATACGCAGTTTATGTTCTGGACTTTCTTGCGCTTATTAAGAGCGAAAAACACTCTAAAAAGCACATTCTTCGCGAGGATTTATCATATGGCATTTATATTAGCTTGAGAGATCTAACCCGCATTAATTAATTTGAAGGGAGTTTATTGGAGTCTTAGATGACGGTGTTTACAAATTATTAATAATCATTTCCTGCGAGCGAGCCAACTATAGCTCCTCTTTCTATCTTCACAACGATCATTTATACACTAGAGACGACTGACAAAAATCCCACAACCGAGAGCTTCGGGCCCCCATTTAAATAGATTACTAATCGAGTATTACTGCTATTATTCTCATATAATAGTACCTAGCGAGCATCTAACTGATCTCATAATTTCGATTGCTTGTGTTCCCTACTGCCAACGTGTCTGATACATGAATGCACTTTTTCTCACATAAATTTGTTCAGGGGTTGAAACGATAAATACTAAGATACTCCCATGCCCATTTCCGATCTAACAAGATGGCATGAAAGAGAGTGTAAGAATATTGCATAAAATGTTAATAATAAGATGAGAAGAGTATGATTTAGTTCTCCAAAAAAAGGACACCAAGTATGCCAAAGAGCCTGTTATGGCCGAGTGTCACGATGTTTTGAGGCGCTTGAGCGCGTTTCTGGCAGCGTGTCGAATTGCAGACGTGCCGTTGACAGAGCTTTGAGAGGGGCTGGGCTAGTGTGTCCCACTTTGATGATGAGGAGGCAATTTGATGGAGACGCCATAACTTCTCATGAACAGCGGGGGGCTCGCGGTGAGTAGGGGGGATTGGGAGACAGAGGGATGGGGTGAATCTGAGCCGTCCACGTGCAGGAAGAGAAGTAATTACCATACCAGCGGTGTTGCTTGAAAGGAATAGTGAGAGAGCAATGATCATGTAGTTGGGGACTAATTCCTGTTATGTGGGATTTACGTTTTACAGAAAAACAAGGTGTGAGGGCAGGAGAAAGGAATTTTGTTTCGTTATTAAGGATGCGAGAGACCGAAAGGATAGATAGACAATACAATGTTTACTAGTGTCATCAAAAAATATCGAGAGAGAGAGAGAGAAGAATAACAAAAAAGACACGTAGCGAAAATCTGAACTTCGTATAGCTGAATATTGTGTGTTGAAGTAAAGGCGTACAACGAAAAGATAATGAATCTGGCCAGCTGAGAGAAGTTGCTGACCGAATCTCGCGCCGTTGTTGATCGATATGTAAGTATAGTAGAAGTGCTCTTACATCAACTGTTTCCGAAATTAACACAGTTTGGGATTAGTTCATACTTGCCTTACATTACAACTTTAAGCAAACTTGTGTATATTCCCTATGAATCCTTTTTCTTTTCCACTGTAGTTTTACGGATCCTAATATCAATAATGCAAAACTAAAACATATCTTGGCTTACCCAAGGGAAATCTTTTGTGTTTACTTTATTAAATTAAAGCCCTTGCGTAAACCTTTTGAATTATTTTGGCCTTTTTGTGGGGCTAAGATCAACTAATACATAACAAATGGGACAATTGCATCTCGTAATTTAATAAAATAAAATTATTAACTGAGGGAGGAACCCCACTTCCAGGCTGTATGGAAAGTTGGATATGGGAATGGGACCCAAATTAAGCTCAAAATTTTCCAACGGTGCAAGTATATGCATGTAATGTATTACGGGTGAGGTCCAGCTTTCTGTGTACATGTGAAATCTGGGCTTGAGACAAGGAATGAGGCCTCCGCAGGCCCGCAAATAGAGTGCAGGTCCTTCATATATAGTAAAGGCCACTCCACAGTCCACAGGCCTATGCGAGAGAGAGAGAGAGAGAGAGGGAGCGGGCAGTGACCCTGCAATTGTAGGACACAGGGACCTCCAAACTCCGCGGGGAAATGGAAAGATGCCAATGCATGAGACAAAACGGCATTGACAGCCTTCACGTTGTATTCAAGCTCCCTTCACCCACCCACCACTTGTACAGTACGTACCCTCTCTCTCTCTCTCTCTCTCTCATGCGTGAAACGAGACCAAGTGTTTCAGCTGCGTGTCTGTCCCATCAATGTGTTCTTGTGGTTTTGCAGGCAGGCTAGGGTTAATTATTTGTTTTGGTGGTCATTTCATATCAATACAATCTATGGACTATCGACAACCTGTTTACCTAACCTTTTCATTTGTTAGCAATACCCTTGGCAGGCAAATTACAACCCATAGACCTCTTTATGCTTGTGCGGATTGGGTTATTAGTGTTCAAATAATGTGGGATGATGATAGTGTGGCTAACAGCAGCGACATAGTGGGCTTGGA